AACCCAGAGAAGCATGCAAATACTTCTTTAAAGTCACTTCATAAGTCTTTAAAACTTTTATGTGATTTTGAGTATATATCGGCATGCCTTCTTCCCTTGTGTAATGAAAACAACACATTTTGGAACTCTCTGCATTACGTTCTGTTTATCATACATCATAAGATTAATCAGTAATTGTTGCTATTTTGTGTGCAAATATTGTTTGTCTAAAGAATTAAATTTGCAAGGTGTCTCAACACTTTTAAGGCTGATGAATACTTCTGCAAAGATACTTGTAAAAGCATCTTTGCCTGTGCATGTTTGCAGATGCAGAAGTGTAGTTTTGCCTTTAATTCTATCATTGAAGCCTGAGCTTCAAGCATAAGTTTTCAAATCCTCTTAATGATTTTTCAGGCTCGCATGGAGGTTGATGCTGATGGCAACGGAGCAAAAATCTTTGCTTATGCCTTTGACATTGGCAAAGGCCGATGGGCTGCTCGACCCCTGCATGAGTTACTCTGGTGAGTTGTGCATTCTTAAGGAGTTTGGCCTTGTTCCCTTAAATAGTTCATCAAAATTAAGGTGAATGCTTATATATGTATATGTTGTGTGTATGCCTGTGTGCATGCAGGGAAAAGCACAGAGGTGGCATTGCTCCTAGTTTCCAAGTCGTCCACATAAACTCAGTCACAGTGGACAACCGTCTAGACAACTTGCGCCTCGTTCCTGTTGGCTGGAGTCCCAAACCAGAGGAGCTGTCCAGCAAGCAAAGGTAACAGAGTTTACAGGATTCTCTGCTGGAGGATTGGTGGCACCGAGTTAATCTCGTACTGTGTCTCTTGAATTACAGACAATCAAAGAATGCCATTCTCCAGCATAAATACAACTTAGGGAAGTGCTGTTAGGCATGTTATAACAGTTTTGAAAAGGCTACCCTTAAGTAGCTAACACTCAGCAAAGCTTTAAGCCTTTTACTTCACATCTGCCATCTGAGATTTAGTTTGTTTGTCTGTGTGTGGTCCTTCTGCAGAGAGCAGTCACTGTACTGGCTGGCCATCCAGCAGGTGCCAGCAGACCCAGTTGAGGAACAGTATCTGGAGTTGAGCCGCACACGCTACTACAACGCTAACGGAGAGCTTGTGGAGGAGGAAGAGTGCTCCTGCACGTACTACGAATGTCATTATCCCCCTTGTTCGCTTATTGAGAGGAGGGTGAGTACTGTCATACTTTCGTTACTGCTATTTGGTGTCTTGGGGGTATAATAAGAGTCTGTAAAAGCACAACTTTTGTCCAAACTTTGCATAATAGCTCTTTGAAGTATGTCTTATTTGTTTTTGCACTATGGTCTTGGGCTACATTAACAAATCCAGATCTTTTTTTTTATTTTTATGACAGATTTTATTTTATTGTTGTTTTTCAAATCAGATCTGAGGCACTTTCCTATGTGTCTCTAGTTCATATTTAATTTGTGGCCCTGCAACCTTAATGAGAACAATCAGGTCAGAATTCATGTGTGTGGGTCCATCCCCATGTCTTGCTCCTAATAATAAACAACTGATAGCAGTTCAGGGAAAATTGTGTTTGTGACGAAGCCCTGCTTTGCTGGTTAGTATCCATATTTGTGACAGATATGAGCCACTTACCATGCTAACACGTACCATCAAATTAGGAAGATTGGATCTAAGCAAAAATTGACTTGAGCAGTGAGTTTTGTAATGTAAATATTGCCTGATTGCAGCATGCCTGCCATGTTGACCATTTAAGGGTGCTGCCAGGGACAGCTGAACCAATTTCTCATGAAAAATTGGATCTACCTTAAAAATGAAGTTTAGAGACAAGCTAAAACCTCCTCACCTCACCTCGAAAAATTATGGATGTAAAACTTGTTCATCTTCAATTTGTCGATTGCTAGATGCTTCAGAATGTTTTTTTGAAAGAACAGTTTAAAATTAGACATGGCATCGATCTGATACTATCTTAGTATCAGGCCGAAAACAGCAGAAGAGCTAGATTGGATATTGGAGAGTGTGAAAATTAGTCCTATAACAAATCTCGCTTGAAACCCCACTCTCTGTGATGTTGTTAACCGTGTATTTCTTCCTTTGGGGTGGTAATGTGTTGGAGCAGTTTAAGCCTACTTTTTGAAGCTCATAAGTGAAGTGGTGTAATTAAAAATATTACTTTAGAACTTTTTAAAACTTTACAATTTTTTTTTTTAAGATTTCAGTATCTTTATTGGGATCTGAAAAGGGAAAAGTATCATGTCATCTCCACTCAAAATACATAAATATCTGGTTAACATTTACAATATTTGTGAAGCTCGTTTCAGTGTAATTTTAAGAGGCAGAACAAAAAAAAAAACTAAAGTCTAATTACAAGTTATGTCAGGTTTGTAAGACATTGTTTTAGCACAGAGTAGCAGTACTCAGGAAGCATGACATTAACTGTATTCAGTGTAAATCATCTGATGCCATAGTACTGTGATTTTATTGTTACTGCCCAGCACTACTGTTTTGTGTTAACTGCTGTTTTAATATAAATATGTTCTCTTCAGCTGCGAGAGTTCAACATCTGCGGTCGATGCCAGGTGGCGCGCTACTGCGGTTCCCAGTGCCAGCAGAGGGATTGGCCAGCCCATAAGAAGCAGTGCCGCGAACGCAAGAGGGTCCTGGCCCTAGAGTCTGAGCCTGAGCGGTGATCCCTTGAACACCACTCTGAAGAAAGGTCGTAGGGGAGGGGGTTTTGGGGTGAGACTTACAGTTAAGATGCAAAATGAAATCTGCTGACTGACTAGTAGAACGGGTGACATTGGTGGGCTAACAGGCCTGTTGAGGGGGGGGAAAAATACCTTGCTTCCCAGAACTTTGATATCTCCTTGGCTTGTCTGAGGTGGTTATGGGAAATTAGGGGATTTTTGTTTGTTTTTGTTTTTTTTTTGTTTGTTTTTTTTCGTTTGGAGGGAGGCTGTAAAAGGCTCTACCTGCTGCTATGGATGTGTGTTTTGTGAAGAAAAACGCCATGCCGTCATGACTTCCTCTGTGGACTGTCGACAGTTCATAAGCTCACTCCTTCCTTCCATCCACGCGCCCGTCATGAAGTGTTAGCCGCTGGTATCGAGCGACAAGCCTGCTGTACGAAGAGACGGAATAATGGAGTAATGGACCTCTTCACTGTACTACCCTTTTTCCTCTCCTGGTTGAACTTCCTGTGCACATAACCATGCACATGCTCACCTACTTGCCATAATGTTCCCCAACAAGTGTGCAGCAGAGGACTGTGTGAATTCACACTACCAGTATTTGTGTGTGTGTGTGTATGTGCGATGCCATTAATGACTGAAGGACATGGATGAAGTGGTAGAAATTTTTTTTTTTTGTTTTTTTTTGGTTTTGTTTTTATCTTTTCTTTCTTTCAGGGGTGAGTGGGGTGGGAGGAGTTTTTGTTGAAGCTGGGATGTTGTTGCTTGTAGAACTGTTTCCATGTTCCTGTGTCAAGTTTCTGAAAATGCATTACTCCCGGTGCTGCATTACAATCCCAGTTACCCTTCCAGCTTCACTTATGTTCACACGCCATCACGAGCATTCAGCTTCGAGGGACGTCCTGGAAAAAACTTGAAAATCCACAGTGAAAAGTTGTCTCTGACTAATGTGGACAACATGTACTTGGCTGTGTCTTCAAGTTGACGTTTGGGTTCCCTGTTATTAATTTATAAATCTGTCCTTTGTGTCCACGTAAGCATAGCTTATGTAGTCATGCGCTCTTATTTTATGTTTTGTATAACCCACCCAAAAACAAGAAAAAAAACATACATGCACACATGTCTAAAGTGCGTCTTCCTCTTATGTGAAGGGCAACTCTACCGAACTGTGATGCGCACGCACATACACACAAATTAGCATGTATTGCAGACATACGTGCAATTTGTTGATGGTTGTGTGTACCAATATGTCTATTTATCTGGATGGGGTTGAACACTGTGCACTGAGTATCCTCACTTTTATCTTTTGTCATTTAGGCAGGGATGATGTGTCCGAATGGTTGAGTTTAGGGGAAAAGTGGGGTGTCTGTCTTTTCTCTAAGACTATTACAGTACAAACATTTAAATACATAGAAAGTATGAAATATGTGAAAGGGCATAATGTTGGTGATAACTGACCATCTCTTGTCACTGTACAATAAAATAATAAAGTAATGATGTGAGAGAAGTATGTTTACACCAGGGAAGTATGTATACAGAATTTTTTTTGCCAAGAACTATAAACATACCCAAATGAGAAGATGAAAAGTGACCTTAAAAATATCTAATAGATAAAGAAGCATGTTTGTCACTTTTCTTGGTGTTCCATATTTATGAATGACAAAACATACTGTCAGTAGCTTGTTGCTTGATAGTGTATTGTTAAAGTATTCCATAGCTTTAAGGTTTGCACCTTTTTAAACTTTGATTTGTCCTCGTTTGCAGGTGAACTTTTATTTTCTGAGAGTTTATTTAAGGATTTTCTTGGTAATGTGTAATATTGTAACTGATTGGTCAAAATCTGCCCTTGCTTGAGTATCCTTAGTACATTTAAATCCAAAAGTTTAGTGATACAATAAGAAAATATGTAACTTTTATAGTGCTGCATAGTACTTCTTAAATGTTTTTTTTTATTTATTCCTGTAGTAGTTCTTAATATAATACTTGTGTAGTAGAGAACCTAATAATTGTCTGAAAGTGAAAATATATAAAAGTAATAAGCAGCACTGTAGACAACTTGTTTCTTTACTACAGATACTGTTTATAAGGATTAATGGTACTATTGTTCTTTTTCATAAAGGCTGTGCTGTTAGCTTCAGGCTAGTTTGATTAAAGTTTCATAATGGCACGCCTTAACAGCACGTTAAAAAATCCACATACATATTTTAAGTGTGAAGGTTAATATAATGATTTATCTGCGTCCGAAATTGTACGAGTAAATTAACCCTGTGCTGTACAGTCATGCAAATTGAAGTTCTGTAGATGTAATGTGCTCTTAATAAAAATAGGACAGCATGAGCTGCGGGCTTATAAACGAGCGGTGGCTGGGCAGTTCGTCTTCCTGAGGACTGCGTGAGTAACCTTTACCCAATCGGCTCCATAGGAACCAGCGGGGTGGGCGAGATGGAGGGGGGGCACTAATATGTACTGCTTTTGTAGCAAACCGTCTCGGACCTTATCTAGTAGAGCCTACATGTGCGAACACGGTAAGTTGGCATTGTAATTAAATAAAACAGCAGTCCGAAGGTTCTCAGAAGGCGAGGTTTAAGTTACTAGCTTCGAATTACCCGTTCCACCTTAAGTGTACAGGCGGAATGTTATTCGCTGCACCATTTAAGATGGAAGGGAAAATTTCAAAAACAAGCTGGCGAACGCTGCTGGTGCTACTATGGCTAAAGTTTTGAAGTCTAGTTTGTTCAGTAAAAGCCTCGCTGTAGCTCTCCTGTTTGTTTCTGTGATTTGGAGCAGCAGATAATCATGTGAGAAAAAAATCCGTTAGGCGGCGAGTGGAAACAAAACAGCGTTGTTTTGTCGTTAAACCGTTTGGAGTAATCATTTAACGGCAGTTAGTAACCCTAGTGTGGGTGAAACTTAGTCGCTTCATTATTTCTGGCCTATTTTACCTTCCATCTTTTCACAGTGCCGAAGGATGACCTGCTGCCCGGTTCCGTGTCAGAGGAGTACCGCTCTCAGCTGCCTGATGTGTCCGAACCTCCTTCATGTGGCGGCTTCCGTGAAGGTTCTGGCTGAAGAGGCTCAAGACAGAAACGGTTCACTCGCTGAGAGGATTTTTCAGGAGAGTCACGGAGAAAAATGCATTACAGCGCTTATGCGTCTACTAGATTCTCAGGATGTGTGGTTAGTGCCATTTCAACACCAGGATCTTCTGCACAAACACAAGTACCAAGAAGGAGGTCTAATTTATTGATTCCAAATAGGACCAGGCGATACTGATAAAATTCAATATCATGATATTTTCCAAATATATCACACTATCAGATATTTAAGTTAGCATTAATGAACCCCATAAGTCAGCAAGAAGTTAACGAAACCATTCTTCCTGAGCTAGTAAGCTAAACCTGACACATTGTCTTGTTTTGACTGATCTGTTTTGTTTTGTTTTCTGTTAAAATTGCACCAGACAGAAAGCACGTTTCAATAAAGATAACTTACTATTTATGAAATCTGATGGATTTTTAAGTGTGCTTTCAAAACAATCTAAAACACCCAGAAGATGACATACATTTTAGCTAACCGTCCTGCATGTCAGGATTAGCCTAAAGCGCACAAAATAGAATTTGTATGGCTTTTTTAGTATTCGGCCAGTATAACCTCAAGCTACACTAAAAATTAAAAGGTTGCTAAAATGTTTGTGTCTTGGAGATTTGGTTCAAGGAAAAAAAACACTTAAACTGATGTAGAATCTTTACGTTATGCGATTTATTAATCTTTTTTTTGAATTTGAAAAAGTAAAAAAAAAAAGTTCTTCACAGCTGCCATTCAGTTGGCATATGGTATAAAATGGTTCTGTGAAAACTACTGAATGGTTCTTTATGGAAGTGATTCACACTTTTTACCTTCCTCACAAAAAAAAAAAACTTTCTTTTGAAGACAGCTGCTTCAACTTTGGTTAAAACGAAAAAGATTTGCACCATTTTTTTCAAAGAGTTAGTAGTTGAATAGTGTCTGTATTACCTTTAAGAACTGAAAAGTGTATTCTGAGCCAGTGGCTTTTGTTTTTCAGCAGTCACAGAGTGGCCTCCAATTGAACTCCAACTAGCACAGAGAAGTGCTCATAAAACTGTCAGCTACAATGTGGAGATTGCCACTTTTATTGCCTGCAACCAAGCACCAGGAGGGTCTGTATGAGCAGCGGTGTTGATAAGCAGGCGTTTTTGAACATCTGGTGTGTGTGGATTCTTCTCTGTGATTTTTCAGGCTGTGCAGTATGGCAGTTTATATCTTTGGGATGCTTTTGGAGAATGAAACTATGGTGCAGAAACTTAAAGAGTGGACAAATGAAGACAACAATCTTTGCTGGACCTTAGGACAACTCCTGCTGAAAGACGATCCTGATATTGTTTTGAATGCTGCTGGAGCCATAGCATCACTGGTAACACTTACTGCAAAAGTCAGAGACCACCCTTTATTTATTTAATTTCTAGTCGAAAGGGCCATCAAGTACAAGTTATTATTTTTTTGGGAGATATTTCTGAGGAGATTAGATCTAAGATAGTCTACTTGCATGCGGACGGAGAAACCTGAGAGTCAAAATAAGTAAAAAAAGAGTTTCTAAACTGTAGTTGAAAATGATTAAAGATATAGAGAAAATTTGACTCCTGTTAACCATGCAAGAGCTGGTAGACCACCAAAACTGTCACAATATAAACAATACTTAATGCTTTCGTCTTTGAGAGAGAGTAGAAATTCAAGCTCCACTCTTGCTTCAGATTTGAAACAAATCTACAGGTGTAATTAAATAAATGAAGGGTGGTCTCTGCACAGTAGTGTACATAGAAATAAACTGAACCGTTTAAAACAAGTTCTTGTTTGTATGCTGTTGTAGTGCTGTGCCCATTAGGTTTGAATAGTCCAATTTGATCTGAAAGGATCAAGTTAAGGGCTTTCCTGTCTAGTCTTGACGTCTGTGTGTGTATGATCTTCTAACATTAGGTTGAGACCCCTTTGGGACGCCAGTGGCTGCTACAAGACCACGCTGTGTTCAGTCAAGTCCTTGAGAATGTGGTGTGTCTTCTGGACAATGGGAGAGAGAATATAATTAACTCAGCTGCTCTCATTCTAGCACGACTGTCTCTGTGTGAGATGGCCTGCAGAAAGCTTATATCTCACTCCTCAGCCTCAAGAACCATCCGTCGTCTAGTACAGTGCCTGGCCCACAGCCACACAGGTCAGTGTTAATGAGATGAAACCCTCAGGCCATAGAGTATTGCTGAGTGTACAAGGATGGTTTTGTTAACTGCTACAAAAAGCAAAAGATGTGGGGCCTTAGTGGTTAACCCTTTAAGTCATGGTTCTTTAAATCCAAGGGTAACTGAATTGCACAGGTTAGTGTTCTTTATAGTCGTACATACTGGAGAGATCTTAGCCAATAAACCAGATTACTTTGTTGCAAAAAAAAAATTGAGTTGTGCAATACTACATCCTTTCAGGGCTGAAGTTTGAGAATTGATTGCGTGAGATGTCTGATGAATTTACATATATTGTGGAAATTTGTGCTGAATGTAGTATGTGTTGTATAATTTGCTTTAAGACACTGCTATGAATGCAGCCTTCACTATTGGCCGCTTGTGTGGAAGTGAGCAGGGCAGAAGGGTCATTCTGGCTGAAGCCAAAGAATACAGATTGGTGAGAAATCCCTGTTTTATTTTCATTACTGTAAACACTGGTGTAGAACACAACCCTCACAACACAGCCTTTACCAGATCTAAGGAGCCCCCCTCATTAGATTTTTACAAACTCAGCCCAAAAAAGACATTTTTGAATAGTTAATAATAGACATAAATACACTATATGGCCAAAGGTATGTAAACTTTTCTGATTGTTAAGTTCAGGAGTTTTAGCCACACCCACCGCTAACAGTCTGTAACATCAAGCACATAGCCATGCAATGTCTATGGACAAATATCGGCAGTAGATTGGGTTGTCCTGAAGAACTCACAGGATGCCATTCCAGTCATCTCTAAATGCTGTTGTTGTGAAATTCAAGCATGTTGGAGCAACGACAGCTCAGCCACAAATTGCCAAATTGGGCCATTTTCAGGGTTTGGACTAGGCTGCTTAGTTTCAGTAAAGGGTAATGTTCATGCTACAGCATACAAAGACATTTTAGATAATTATATGCTCCCAACTTCGGTGCAGCATTGGTTTGGAAAAAGCCATTTCCTGTTCCAGCATGACAGTGCCCCAGTGCACAAAGTGAGGTCCATAAAGACATGATTTTGGTATGGAGGAATTTCACTGAACACCTTTGAGATGAATTAAAACGTCAGTTGTCCAACTTCAGTGGACAATTCGATTCTTGTCCAACTTCTGTACCTGACCTCAGAAAAACTCGTTGACTGAATGGGCACAAATTCCTAAAGACACAATCCAAAATCTTGTGGAAAGCCTTCTCAGAACATTGGAAGCTGTTATAGTCGCAAAGGGGAGACAACTCCAAATTAAAACTCATGCTTTTGGAATGGGATGTCCCAACAAGCTCTGCTGTAGGTGTGATGGTCAGGTGTCCACACACCTTTGGCCATATAGTGTATTTTATGGATTATGAGGCTAAACAATAGAGTGAATCATGCATGGTATCACAGACTGATCATGACATTCACAGTGTCAACAGATGGTCGTCACATGATGTGTGGTTTCAAGCAGACAGTGAGGAGCTCAACAATGATCAAAAAAAGGAAATCTATCAGCAGTGCACAGAAATATGCTAGCAAGCAGTTGATATTTTCAAAACAATCTGACTCAGTGAGTCAGTATCTCATAATGAAGAGACCTGATCCCAGCACTTCAAAATATGAAATATTATTTAAAATGTTAACTTACTCCTTATTATGAAATATTAAGTCATGATTAATGCTCATAGACTCATAATGATGAGATTTGTACTGTAATAAGATAATAAGTATATTTCTGAGAATCTCCTTTTTATGAGATAGTAAGTTATAATTTAGATAAAATGTTAAATCATATTTATGGAATTGTATCTTAAAATTGTGACAGTCTCATTATTTCTTGACATTAAATCATAATTGAGGCACTGTTGATTAATCTAAAATTGTACAAAAAATGTATTTGTATTTTTCAAAATTAGTTTTGGTGCTGGGTTTGTGGGGTTTGAGTTGAGTTGAGAGGCAGGATGAACTCTATTTTTGTTGAAGGCCCCCACATTTTGTGCTGCACCAGTTATTGTAAAGGATATACCAATTACTTACAAGCACATACCAATTATTTACAAGAGCAAATAAATACTGAGAATGACAGAAGATGATCTGTATGTTCTAGGACTATTAGGTGCTCCTCCACTGAGTTTCTGTTATTTCCTTTCAGGCAAGCAGCCTTCAAGCTCTACTGTCAAATGGAGCAGGGCCAGAGGCAGGACAAACAGCCTGCTTTACTTTGAGTTGTCTAGCATCTGAGGTTGATGGACATGCCTTGCTGATGGAGAGTTCCTCCTGCCCTGCTTTGCTGAATGGTCTGCTAAGCTTACTGAAGAGTGGAGATCCAGACAGTACTTGGTTTGCTGCTATGTGAGTTCCCTTCAACCAGTTGAGTTTCACCACTTAAGATCTGCATTATCCTGCTTACAAAACACCCAGTTTTTAGGTTAGCCAAAGTGCAGAAACTGATAGTCTTAAAGTAAATAAAAGTAAATAACACTTTTTATTTTGAAAAATCTCATCCTTTTCATTAAATCTTACTCAGTAAATAGTAGAAAAGAATGTACAGAAAACGGGGATGGAAGGACCAGTGGGACGGTGAGGGATGGGGTGGGAAAAGGGGTTGTTTCCTTCAGTTCTGTAATGTTGTGATAAAGAGCTGCTTGATTAACAGGAAACAAATTAAAAATTGATCACAAAAAATAGGAAATGACACTTAATATTTGGTTGCATATCCTCTGCTTGCAATAACTGCTTCAAGCCAGAAAGCCACTGACATCATAATTTTTTTTGTAATTTATTCTTTCCCAGGCTTATACCGTAGCTTCTTTCAGTTGTTGTTTGATTTGGGAGTATCAACCTTCAGTCTCTTTATCAAGAGGTGAAATGAGTGCTCAATTGAGTTAAGGTCTACTAATTAACTCTAATTAACTTACTAATTAACAGTCTGAAAGATTCTGCTTGTTTCTGCGGATGAAGTTATGCTGGCAGTTTGTTTTGGGTTATTGTCTTGCTGCATGAATATGTTCTTCCCAATTAGATTTGATGCATTTCTCTATAAATTGGCTGACAAAATGTTTCTGTAGACTTCTGAATTAATTTTACTGCTACCATCAGCTGCTACCCTTATCAGAGTTAAACCATCAATAAATATTAATGTGCCAATTTTAGAAGCAGCCATGTAAGCCCAAGCCATGACGTTACCTTCACCGTGCTTGACTGAGGAACTGTTCGATGTTGCTGTTAGTATACCAGTGTTTTCTTTCTTTTTTAGGACATTCCAAATTTTTTGTATTGACTATGACCAATGCTTGTGCAATGGCTCTATGATCTTCATGTTTGTTTATCCTTTTTACAACAAATGTTGTCCTCACAGACAAAACTCAGGGCTCAAACCAAGAGAGCTCCTCTCTGTGGCTCTTTATTATTCTTATTTTTTATTCTTTATTCTCTTTATTGTATTTATTTTTTATAGTTAAATGCTTGTTAACAACTGTTAATTGTTTAAACAGTCAATCTAACAGGACACACCTGGGCAACAGGAAACAGCGGTCAGTCACATATTCCAAATTTTTTGGAATAGGAATGGGGGAGTTCAAACAAAATAAGGTGCCATGGTCTAGATGTAAATATTAGGAAATAAAAGCTGAAATTCTGATCAATTATCTCAACCAAATCTCTTCAGTGTATAGTAAAATAAAAGAATTGGTCTTGCCTTTTCAATACTTGGAGGAGACTGTATATCTGTTCCAGTGATACAGATTTGTTGTCTTTCTCTTAACTCTAACTGTCTGTCCTTCTCTTTCTTTCTCTCAGGACTGTCAGAGTGTTTGTGTCTCGGCCAATTGGAGTGATTAGAGTTAGAGAGCACAAATCTTTGGAGGAGCAGCTAAAGGTTCTAGTACTTGTTGTTATTTACATCTTTAAAATCAAAATGATGTTTATGTTTAGAAAATCAGTAAATACGTAATGGTGATTCCTTTGTTCTCTGACATACCGTATTACCTTGCATTTTTTTCCACAGGTCATCTTGTTTTATAGCCTGCCTTTACTTCTTCATTTTTATGTTCATCTCTAGTGTCTCTCTGTCTTTCCATCAACGGGGCCTGAGCTGCAGGAGGAGCTTAGTGCTTCCCTGAGGAAGCTGAGGCACCTTTCCAAACCATCTCCCATTACAATCCAGCACCTTCAGTCAGGTGCCTACATTGCATCATGGGAGAGAATGGAGCCTGAGAGTGGCCTTGAGGTCACTTATAGGTGAGTCACTTTTTTTTGCCCAGGTCAAGCTGAATTACTTTAACCTGTAAAGGTACTACCAATGAGATCCATGTACAAATCTGCAGTGTCTGTAGTTTTTAGAAGTCTAGTAATTCTAGCACAAATTGCTTATTATTTGCCCAACCTAGAGTTCTATCAGTAAACTAAATGGAGCACATCTCAACCTAACCCTCAACACAGGCCAACTGTAAACTACAACATTTTTTTTCTGTTTCTTTTTCTCTGCTATGCTTGCAGTGCACTGTGCTGTTATTGTTATTGTGTGTGGGGCCTTTTGCGTAATGCTAATATGTACATCCAGACTATGATGGTCCTTTCCAGGCTGTCTTTGCTAATTTGGAGAAATTACACTAACATTTTACACCAGTATTGGCCAGTCAAATACCTTTACAAGTAACTTACAGAACCTCACCTAGTAAAATGAATCCAGCTTGGTTCGTGCATTTAACCCTGAACAAGGATGCAGCATCAACCAAATACAATCTGTAATATGCATCTGCTATCAGAAATGTACTGATTATACATTTTTCTTCTTTTTGATTCGTCTGCAGCCTCTTTGATGGAGACACTGTGTTGTACCGAGGCTCACAGTGTCAGGTCACTTTACCTCAATCCCACCTCCAGATTAAACAATCCCTGTCTCTACACCTAAATCTGTCTACCTCAGACGGTGACACCAGTCCCTTTAGTGACCCTGTGGAAATGACATTGGAGACGACAGGCATTAGGCCAGGTACACCACAGGAGCTGCGTGTAATTGGCTGCACAGCAACTCAGGTGCGATTGAGGTGGGTGGAGCCAAACGGAGAGGTCAAGCCTAAATCATTCCAAGTCTACTGTGATGATGTGCTGGTTGAAACCACCACAGAGCTGGGGTAGGTTCTTTTCTGTCACTGTGCTGATTATATCATATATCTGTCTTGTATTTTATTTTTCTCTTGAGGTCTACTTATGTAGCAATGTCTGTGTGGTTTTATGCACCAAAAACAGGCATAATTCATTTTAAGGTGACTTTTGTATGTAAATGATCTCTATACTGATTGGCTGCCATATTTTGTTCCTCGTTCCAAAAGCAGTTTATGCTGTAACACTTATAATGTTAACATTAATGGCTAGCTTAATTGCCGTAGGCTGAATAGGTGGATATATATAAATGTACTGTTTTTCATGACGTCAAGTCAAAATCAAGTCAAAGTTTATTTATACAGCACTTTTTACAACAGGTGTTGTCACAAAGCAGCTTTACAGAACAATCTGGGTCCAAGCCCCAACAAAAACATTAAATTCAAAAGTGGCTGTTTTTTGCAGTTTAGTTTCCATATACGCACTGTATGGACTAGAGAGCAAACAGTATGTTTTAAAACTTAATGTTTACGTATTACTCCAGAATATTTCAGAAAAGTAAAAATTTAGTTTTCCATGATATGGGACCTTTAAAGGACAGTGTTATAGGCCAAGGTTATACAGTATTACAGTAGTTCTCAATCACATTTCTGTGTTATTCCTGCTCCTAAACACCTGAGTTATCTTATAAATAGCTTCATAATTACTTGGATAATGCACAGTAGTCCATAAAAAACTTATGTGGCTTGAGATTACAACCACTGGGTCATTGTGTATATATATATATATATATATATATATATATATATATATATACTTACATTAAACCTAAAGTAGGTGATTGGCTGCCCTGTATTGTGCCTTATTCAGAAAGCACTCAGAGGTGAAACACTCCTTAGAAATATTAAAAATGTTTACATATTAAACTGGTTTGTTTAAAAAAGCCAGAAAAATCCAGTTTTCCATGATACGGGCCCTTCTTGATTGAAAATGAATTGATTGAAAAGATTGAAAAGTAGTCATGTGGTAATGAATTACAACTGCTAGTACATATAACCAAACAAACATTAGAAGTGGACTTCAAATGGAAAGATGAGACAAAATAAAAAAAATATGCTTCTGAGCAATTGTATGGCATCAAATACTTCAGGACTACCATGATTCTCTTCTTCAGGACTACAATTAGCTCTCTGTGTCCTAGTACTACCTACACATTAAGTGTGTGTGCGCTTGGTCCTGGAGACACAGCGGGTTCTCGGTCCAGTACCGTTGTGCAGACTGATGAGGGTCGGGACCATGCTCCCAGTGGTCTGACGGTGGCCGTCTTGGGACGACATGAGCTCCACATCAGCTGGGGCGCTCCAGCTGTGCCGCTGGGGCGACTGTTCAACTATGAACTGCATCTAAATGGCATTGTGGTGTACTTGGGCACAGAGAGGGCGCACACGGCCCGCCGCCTTGCTGCTAACACAGCTTACACCTGCACGGTAACAGCAATCACCTCCAGGGGGCGCTGCCAGAGCAGGCCTGTCACCAAAAGGACAGCAAAGGATGAATATCTGAACACAAACAGGCAAGTTAGTAAGTAATGATGCTAATGTGTTTTAATGGAAAAATGTGTTTTTTGTGTTCTGAGAACTTGATGTCAAATGAAGGAATGATGCACTTAATGGCCACTTTGTTAGAAACACAATTTGCATATGTTTTTAATTATTTTAAATGTTTGTTAACATCTGCTTTAAATCTTTTACAATAATGTCATAAATAACAAATTAGCAAATTTATTATATGTGCTTTAAGATTGGCAGAGTTTGGGTGGACAGAACAACCCCCCTCTAATGCACTTAGAACCCATCCTTACTGGATATTTTACAATGGTAAATCATGTTTGACCATTGTGTCTGAATGAATATATATATATATATATATATATATATATATATATATATATATATATATATATATATATATATATATATATATAATCATACATACATCACAATACTTTTGTGATTTTATGAACTTTTCACAGCACACAATACACATTTATTTTTTCTGACATCTGAAACGTTGGAACAGACAAAAAAAGAACCAAAAGTGCCACATGAAAACAATACTATCAAAAACAATGAATAAAATGATTTGTAATCAACATTTTGCACCAGACTGATATAAAAATTTGGTGAACGATACCGATTTATGGGGAATACAAATTCTGGTAACCGGTAACATCAGCTGGTGTAATTTTAGATTTATAATTTAAATTTAAATTTTATACTCCAATAGTTTTAGTTAAATGCAAACCAGTATGGTTGTAAGTTCTTAATGGTCACATTTCTTAAACTGAATTAATGAACAGGAACTCACTGTCATCAATAAGAGAGCCTCTTATTGAGCTACTCAGTGACACAACTGTAGAATTTTGGCATGTAAACAGAACGCAAGTTTGTTAATGCCACAACCAGAAAAATAAAAAGGCAGGAATTATCAGCTTATACCAATAACCGGCTGATATTGTTGGCCAACCAATATATTGGTTGGGCTCTAGTTTATAATAAAGTGGACAGTGACAATATAGGCAAATTTGGATTGTGGTTTAATTGATCTCTGTCTGTAATACATATTCAGGTGTCTGAATTCTCCCAGCCGTCAGCCCATCACACAGCCTTTACCATCTCCTCCAGGGGTCCGAGAAGTGAAAGAGGTCAAGGTCACAAAGTCATTATCCCCACACAGACGTCTACCCGATGTCCAGCTGACCATTCATCACTACACAGACCCTGACCTTAAAAAAGTCAGGCACAGGTCCTGGTTGAGTTAGAGTTTAGTTTGTGGGAACTAAAATACTAGGCAATAATATAACTTGGCAATGATTGGTTTATGACATTATTTTTCACTGCACTCTCTGTTTGTCTGACTTGGCAGTAGAATGAGCTGATTATTTTTGTTCGGCAGGCTGCCCTCTGTGCCAGTGCAGTCCCACAGTAACACGAAAGGCAGATCTAAGCTGACGTCTGAAGTACAGGTGAGATAATCTAAAACTAAATTATGAAATATTACTTGACAAGGAATTTTGATACATACAGTACTATGCAAAAGTCAGAGACCACCCTTAATTTATTTAATTTCCAGTCAAAATAGCCATTGAGTATAAGTTTTTCAGGAGATTTTTCTGAGGAAATTAGATATAATAAGGTAATAAGATAATCCACTTGCATAAGGAAGAAGAAAGTTCAAGAGAAATAAGTGAAAAGTGTCCAAAACTGAAGGTCAAAACATGAGTAACAGATACAGAGAAATTGGGACTCCTAATGACTGAGCGAGACCAGACTACTGTGCCACAATAATTCCAAAATACACTACTTGTGCTCTCTTTTTTCAGTTAAATATGCAGCTGATTAGGGTTTTTTTAAAGTACTGATGATGTCTGTGACATACTCAAAGCAGCATATTTTGACATTGTGATGTAATTTATCACAATAGTGATAAATGTTGTCATATTTATGCCCTAGTTTCTGTCCATTTTTCCACTGTAACAGTACAGCCCAATGCTGTGGGTCTGAAAGGATGTGTAACTGTGAAGAAACCATTACTAGAAATTGACTGATGAGTTGAAATTTGTAAATGGAAGTACTTGGATCATAAGAAGCAGAATATGTAACCGACCTCTAATATAGAAGCAGTTTTCCGCCACTTAAGAAAAGTATAGACCAGGGGTGTCCAATCTCATCCACAAAGGGCTGCAGGTTTTCAGTCCAGCAAAGCAGGAGATCACCTGATCAGCAGTTTGAAGACTGATTAAACAAGTGGAATCAGTGTGCTCCAGCTTGTTTTGGGTGAAAACCAGCCACACCGGCCCTTTGTGGATAAGATTGGACACCCCTGCTATAGACCATATAGTATGTCAAAATAATGAGAAATTATGTCATAATTATGACTTAGTACCTCATAATTATGGCTTACTTTCTAATGATAATGAGAAAATGAGTACCTCATAATTATGACGCAAGATCTCATAATGGTGACTTACTGTCCATAATTCTGAGATGCTAAGTCTTTATTATGAGATCTTAAGTCATAATTATGACATCATGGCTGTGTCCAAAACTGAAGGCAGCTGTCTCAATGTCTTGCTGCCTGCGCTGTCTCAAACCTCAGTGCCTCAGAGGGTGACATTTTCCAGTGTTAATGCTGTTTTTTCTGCTGTTTTTTCTAACTGCATCAGTGTGTACACAGAGCATTATGGGATATTTAAGGCAGCGAAGGATACATCTACACTGCCTTCAATAAAACGGCCAAATGGAAGAGGAACAACAGGCAGCATTTTACATTTGACTCGGACATGACTGGGTGCCTTCCTGTCTAAGAGTACTGTATGAGTAGGCAGCAATTATTATTTCAGACACAGTATCTCATTATTATGAGAGAGGAAGTCATAATTATGAGACACTAAGTAGTAACTATGAGATGCTATGTCATAACTCTGAGTCATAATTCTGTAATTTTTCTCATTATTATGAGATACTGGTGGCTATAAATGTTTTTCAGCGGCAGAAACAAGCTTTTATATTATAAGACTGAACTTTGGAGTTGTGGAAAAACATGCATGCAAATTTCTTTAAAAACCGAAAGCAAGTCTCCCGGAAGAAAACGGAAGCTGTAGCCAAAGGGTGGAAAAAATATATTTAGTTGTTGAGGCTTTTGGGTAATTTTCTGTTAATTATGTCTTCTGCTTTTTTTTTTTGCTCAAACTGAAAAAATTAAGGGTTTTCTCTGACCTATACTCTACTATACTTTGCTATATTGAACTAAATACTATACTACAGCTAGTGCCTTCTAATAACCTTGAGATTTAACATTCTAAAGCTGAAGATTATTATATATTAATATGGTTGCTTTGTGACTTTGATTCTAATTCTTTAGAGGTTAATGGGTCTTGTCAATGAATTGGATGTCAGTGCAGTACGGAACAGTGCCAGTGACCATTCAGATGCAGGAGTGTTTCCTGTGAATACTGCTGACCATCCTATGATTCATCAAGAACAGACACTCAGACCCCAGCATCAGTCAGATTCTCTGCTGGATACACACTTTAGACCAAAGATCAGCCCAGGTAGGACCCTCTGCATTCTGAAGCAATGCTTTAGAATAGTACAGCATAAAATGTTCTTCAAAACTATCGGTCTCAGTTGGCCTCAATAACACTGACAATATTACAGTGGAGTCTCTCTCTCTCTCTCTCTCTCTCTCTCTCTCTCTCTCTCTCTCTCATATATATATATATATATATATATATATATATATAATATATATATATATATATATATATATATATATATTATATAAAAAACTCTTTAGCCATGCTGCTACAGTGGGGTTCTGACAGGACAAGATCAGACAGAGGGAGGCTGCCTCTCATTGGCCAGCGTATAAGTGAGTTCCCCTTACAAATGTTCTGTTCCATATCATATTGCATGAACAATACATTAATTCATGACTACTCAGTCAGATATCCCTGACTTTAAACAATGCAGATTTGCAGATTAGTGAATTGTGCATCTTGCAACTTCTGTGGGTTTAGCTGAAAATGTGAGACTTCTCCAGCCTGTCTCCTATAAGTGGCCTGATCTAGACCGGACAGAGCACCATCATAATGAAAAACACAGAAACAGGTAGTGATTGGTCATTTGGCCCAGATCATTTTTAATTAAATATGCTATTCTGTTTTCTAAAATTAAAGATGGCTAGAAACATTTATTTTTTTGTTTTTAGCCATTTAGCTCCATTCATCCCCATTCATGTCACACATTTGCAGGCTGTGGTCTAGTTTGAGTACCACTGGAACCGCTGGTGTAGATGAAGCAATCAATCAATCAATCAATAAAATGCTGCATATTCTCAATTATGTGCTCTCTCTCTCTCTCTCTCTCTCTCTCTCTCTCTCATATGCTAGGCTTGCAACTGGGTCAAGAGTGCACGGTCAATTAAAGGGAAGACATTACCTTATAGCAAACTGGACAAAAACTTAGTTGCACAGAGCTGACAACTTGCACCATGTTTTTGATGTAGCTTGTTGAGTTTTGTGTATGTGTTTCATATTGGGTGAATTCACTGTGTGTGTTTTGCCAGTAGCACAACACTAGTCACGTGTGCTAAGAAGATGGTTAGATTTAAAGGTTATTTCTTTAAGAAAATATAAACTACATTTTCTGTTGCACAAATAAAGTATTCTTTTTGAATAAAATGAAATCTTCATGTTCTTGTCTTCAGATAAATGGTGTATTGCTCATTTTGTCCAAACACAAGATGTGGTGTGCATTCAGAGTCTCAAGTGGCACAGAACGTGAATTCCAGATTGAAACAAGAATGAAAAACATCTTGCTCTGAATTTTGATTTCTGTTTCAAACTACATTAGATAAATGAAATTTTTCATTCCCATGAGTTTGTCTTTAAAATAATAATAAAAAATGAAGATATTATATATTAAATGACGGCTTTAAATGTAATTTCCCTTAAAAAAAGAGCTAGTAATATTACAGCAACGACTCCGCGCCACGAGAGGGAGACATTCAATCATGAATTTGACTCTTCAATAACAAGTGAGATCAAGCGCAGAAGTAGAGAGACCTGGAAATTGATAACAGAGAATTTTATGCAGAAAACAGAATCTCAAACGGGATGGTCAACCTCGGGCTCACCAAAGTGGACGACGCACTCGTCGAGAAGCACCCGGTGCGCCCTTTGATTTTTCATTAAGTACTTAAATCGGTTCATGGTGTGCTTCTACTAAGTTAATGGTGTCTGTATGAGGCACCGCTGATCGCTGTACGGAAGTTTCTGTGTTTCTCTTATGTTTAAATAAGATTGCGAATGTGTGTGGTTAAATTAATGACTCGCACTATTAAGCTATATGCTCTTATTTTCATTCGTTCCTCAGTTGTAGTTTCTAAAGAAGGATATCTCAACGTAATAGGATTTGTTTAAGTGTCATGAAAACCTACAATGCCCATGATGCACTGCGTGCACAACTTTCGGCAAGCAGCTGTTCTAAAGAATTGTGCTACTTTGTCATAGCGCTATTTTAATACAGTGCGCGACATAAAACTGTAGATAGAATATTTTGATGGCCCAAATTACATTATCAGTGTTTGTAAATAAAAATAAATGTAAATAAAAACGACACAATATTCAAAAGGTTGTTATTTAAATGAGAATTCTGTTGATTTTTTTCAAACTTTTTGCATAATTAATTTGACTTGTGCAGACTGGTTTAACGTGAAATGGTAGACTGCAGTACAACGTTGCGAGAAAACTTTCTTGGTGGTGATGTGAACCAGGGAAACACAAATACAGCTGTTTTTCACTTTACAAAACTACAAAAAAGAGGTAGTGATTTAAGAAACATGTTTAATTGTTTACATTTATATGACCGCTTTCTGTTATGTACCTGTTCCAGGCATTATGCTTTGGACATCTGGTTCCTATCACAACCACTGTGAAAAATTCTGATTCAGTAAGCTACTCAAAAATGGCACATTTTACATCAAAACTCTGTGGATGACTTCGTTTACATCTTAACTATTTAATTATGTGGAAGCTTTGAAACATCTGTGGAATTGGCCTTTAATGGTGTATTCAAGGGGGGAAAACTCTTAACTGCTCAGCACATGTGAGTAGAGTCCCCTAAAACCATAGTGATGTAACACTGTACTACCACACTGTCCTTACCAGCCTGTCACTCTCTCCAGGGTTTGCAAACGTATGCTGCTTGCCAGTCTCGAGCATTTATGAAAGGAACAGGAAGCTTCATAATCGGTTGGTATGATACTTCTGGACATGTAGTGTGTCTTCACTTGCATCCCAACTCAGCATCCTACAGTGTTACAGAACAATATTAATAATAAGTTTATTAAAAGTCCTACTAGAGTTTAGTGCTTATCTCATGCAAATACATTCATAAATACTTATGTTAGTTACCAATTAAGAAAGAAACAATGTGGAAACAGTGTTTAATGAATCCCCTCCTTTATCATCCTTGATTGATTAACCAGGTACAGCGAGCCTTTTCTTTGCACAGCGAGCTCTTCAAAAAAGACTGCCCTATCCCCTTCAGTGGAACCTTCTAGTGTCTATTAGTAAGTCAGCGTTGCAAAATACAGAACATCACCAAACAAATTACAGTTACATTCTGTACTGCTTTTGTTTTCAGCTTATTACATTCAAAGCTTGTCAAGTTAAATAATAATGCATACATTCCCTTTTAGCACACACTAGATGGAAGAAAATAACTCTGTGTCTTCTTTTTCTCTCAGTGGCCTCCTCAGTGGTCAGCTACTCAGTGACCCGCTGGGAGACTATGAAGTGCACAGACTTGTGGGTATTCCTTGAGAAAGGAGGTCTTCCAGACTCCAACCCATCCAGTATGTATTTATTTGTGTGAGTGTGTGTGTGTGTGTTGCCTTTAGAGCTGGACCATGTATCAAACATACAGTCTTATGGTAATAGGGTTTGGGTGCTCCTGGCCAATTTACATGCTTTGTTGATTTTCTAAGTAAAAATAAATACACTTCCTTAACAGAGAACACACTTCTGCACAATTTGATGCTGAAATTAACATTTTGGTGGGAAAAATATAAGATAAAATGTAGCCTATGCAAATGTTATGACACATGTTCTGTTTTATGTTCTATCAATATATTAACCTAAATTAGAAGAAAAATGCCATCCTCTACTGTAAGGAGTGTGTTTACTTATTTTTACTTAGAAAATCAACAAAATATGTATTTTAACCATGGGTGTTCAAACTTTTGCATACAACTGTAGACTGCCACCTTCAGATACATGAGGGACTGAGGTCTCATGGGTCCAAATGTGATTTCCTAACAAGTATACATGTATGGGGAAAACTTGCTAAAAGGTTGGCGCTGGATTGAAATCTGCTTCAAACAAGGCTACATCCACAGGTTTTCTGTCTAAAACCTGCTCCCAGTTTTCTCCAGTCCATGCACTTTCAGCGACTAGAGTATCCTTAATAACAAGTGAAATATAAAGTTAAAATCAATATCATTAGCTAATGCTCAGCCTTCAAAATTAATGTTTTAAGAAGTCTGTTGGAAAACAGTAACAGCAAAGTCTTGGCTTGTTTGCACATCACTTAGCTTGAATACCAAGCCAATAGTTTTTTTTTTCTTTTTCAGTCACTTTTTGGAAAAGCTTCAGTGTTCTCAATAATATTAAACCAATTATATTACAGACCTGTACAATTTGCCAGGTTTCAAATAATTACAAGGACACTAGGAGGTTGTAAATAAAAAAAGAAGAAATTTTATATGTGTTGATGATTATGAATGGAGCCGTACTAGATATTAAAATGACTGAAAAAATGTGTAGTTTTCAGAATTAAGTAATAGTAAAATGAATATCCAGAATTTATAATATTTAAAATGTTTTTTGTTAGTTTGCCATATTTAAATCCAATTATAGGTTATTGTTGTGTATAAAATAACCAAAATTGTAAATATGGCAAGCGATTGCAAACTTTTGACTACTACTGTAGCTACCAGTTCTTTCAACAGCATATTTATTCCTGCTGTATCACTGAAACTGCTGACAGTCCATCATTAGGTCTGATCACTAGTCCTGTGATGTTGAAGCTTAAGTGAGGTCTGCTGTAACAAAACCACACACACACACACACACACACACACACATACACACACATTTTCTAAACCGCTTATCCTTCTGAGTCGCTGGGGCGGGGTTGGGAGGTGGTGCTGGAGCCTATCTCAGTGGTCATTGGGCAGAAGGCAGGATACACCCTGGACAGGTGTAACAAAACCAAAGCATGACAAATTATACATTAATTGTTAGTTTTATAGAGTTCTTTAAAAAAATAGAGGTTTCTACCATTTCCCCTGAACAAAAAGAACAATTGGACCAACCTTTTCAGATAAAAGAAGTCAGACATGCAATTTCTATGACGCAGAGCAGTAAATCTCCAGGTCCTGATGGGTTCCCAATCGAATTCTATAAGAAATTGTCCACCAAATTAGTTCTCTTGTTGCTTAATATGTTCAAACATTCTTTGGTACATGGTCAGTTGCCTCAGTCCCTCACAGAAGCCTCAGTTACATTTGAATGAAACCAGGCAAGATGCAACTAAATGTAGTTCATATTGCCCTATTTCTCTGTTAAATGCGGATGTTGAAGTTTTGTCCAAATTATCAGCTACGCTTTTGGAGTTTCTTTTGGATAATAGCATCTCAAACACCTTTCATTAAAGGTCGGCACAAAATTTCAAATATTCGTCATGTTCTTAGGCCCAATCCCATTTCACCCCTTGCCCCTACCACTTAGTCCTTAGCCCTCTGTTTTGCGCGTTCACATCTAGGTTTAGGGTGTCCCAATTTTTGTTGAGATAGAGGGGTCAGGGTAAGTGTTAGGGCTACATGGCTCTCCAAACGGAGGTTTTTCAGAGGTACACACCAAACGAAGCGTTATGAGAAAAAAAGAAAAACCGGCAAGATGGCTGCGCGAACAACCAAAGAAACCCACAAATGTGAGAATTTTCTCTGTTAAAAATTACGATAACCATTGTATTATTTTAGTTTAATGTCGCTTCAAAGTATTATGGTTGTTTTCTTCATAACAAGCATAAAAAATCGCTAATAGCATGCTAATGTCTTGGTAGCTAGCTAGCTAACTTTCCCGTTCCACCTTAAATAGTCCAGCAGTATTGACGCCTGAAGAGCCAGAATGTAACTGCTGCATCATTTGAGGTGGAACGGGAAAATTCGAACAAGAAGCTGGTGAATAGCTGACTTCAGCTTCATATCACCAAAGAACTAGCAGTGGGCGATAATAAATAATTGTCTTATACCCCCTCTTTGAAAGCATATGATGCCCTAAATGTAACTAAAGCCCAGCAGTGAGGTTGCTGAACTTTTCCCTTCTCCGCTATCACTGAAGACAGGCCAGGTTGCCTACAGAGCACCACTAGTAGCCTATTAATGAAGCAGTGTTTCTTTTTTTTTTAATTAGAGGGTCCCATTTTGTAGGGCAAGATTTCAACCACTACCCCTTGTAACTCAGTTCCAAGGGCTTAGGGTGACACTCGAAAACAAGGGGTAGGGGTAAAAAGAAAAAATGGGATTGGGCCTTAATGTCCTTCATTCTTCTTCTTCATCCAAATACCAACTTTTTTGGTATGAGAAAATTTGGTCTTAGTGACAATTTTATTGCAGGGATACGTCTCCTATACTCCTCCCCTAAAGCAGTTATCACAAATAAGATGCGTTTACAGAGTTTCAACCAATCAAGGGGCACAAGGCAAGGCTGTCCCTTAAGTCATCTCCTCTTCACTCTTACAATAGAACCTCTATCTTTAATGCTCAAAGCAACTCTTACATGCCAGGGTATATTTCGATGGGGTATAGTGCACAAGGTTTCTTTATTTGTGAATGACCTTTTGCTCTATATCTCTGATCCCATATCATGCGTGACTGACACTGTTCAACAGTTACATATTTTTTGTACATTTTAAGGCTATAAACTAAATCTTTCAGACTGAATGCCTGCCAGTAAATAATTTAGCTATGACGATTTCTGATAATGCTCTTCCATTTCACATAACAAAATCTGGATTTCAATACTTAGGTATTAACATCACACACACTTTTAAAGGCCTCTACGAAAAAAAAAATAACTTTGCTCCTCTTTTAACAAAGCCTTAATCTGACCTACATAAATTGGGCATCTTACATATGACTTTAGCTGGCAGGGTAGATTGTATTCAAATGAATGGAATGCAAATGAAAGATTGGCTCTGCCTAATCTTATGTTATTATTGGGCAGCCAACTCAGAAAAATGACTGGATACAGACTCCAGACAATTAGTCCAGGTCTTGTGTGACAACTTCTCTGCACGCTTAAAACACAAACATATATATATGCAGCCACATCCTCTATATATGGTTGACTGCCTTTTAGAATTATCACCTTGCTCAAAAGGTTTCATTTCAAAAGCCTACTCATTAATTCTATCTACAAATAGCACTACAGTAGATAGGATAAAGGTTAGCTGGGAAAGAGAACTGGGCAAAGATCTTTTCAGTCGTGTGGTGAACTGTGCAGTTATGTCAGAACAAGAAGCATGTACTAAATACACTCCTACTACATTGTTTTGGGATTGGTGTAAAAAAAAAGTTTTGTGGATACGTTCCACCGTATTGCCACAAATTACTTATAACTTGTAATAATTTCTTTTTCACTCTTTTGTTGAACTCTGTTGGAAAAAACAGCTATAATATTACCTTAGCAAGACAAAGTAAAATCCATCCAATGGGTAGTGGATAAATAACTGAAGTTTATGGAATCTTGTCTTAGCCCTTTCTAAGCTAAATGTATAATATGACAGAGATTTGAGGTATCTTTTTAGCAGTGATATGACATCTGTCATATGTAATTGTGATTTTATTAACTTTCTTTCAAGCTTTTTCACAGAAGCTAACTCTTTTTTTCTCTGTTGTTTATCCAGAGGATGGGCCTAGTCTTACAACACCTGCAGATCCTAAAGTCACAAAATATGGAGATGCAATGGAGTAAGTGTCAGCTAGTAATATAGTGGATAATATAAGTAATATCACTAAAATAAGTTATCACAGTTTTTATTTTGGGTACCTGTTTTAGGAATTTTCAACAGTTGGAGTCAATATTGGAGTGTTTTTGGTTGAATGTTTCAAAATGTAATATGTGCTGTGCATTGTTTTGACCTTTTTTATGGCTGCATATTTGTCAATAAATACGTCATGCAAACCTGCATGTCAGTAATTGTGCAGTTTCAATTGCTGTTCAAGCAGGATGTTCAGTATATTGGTGGCTAGAGCCTGGTGATCATTTTAAAATGTTTGTGTTTTATGGTTTTCTCACAGATGTTAGTAGATTAAGTACAATTTAGTAGCATGTCCACAGATGTCAGTGCTTATGTGTGGCTTATATATTATGCATTAGGATTTGGCAGGGTAATCCTGTTTTTTTATGCATAATGTTACTACACAAATGTGATGACGTTCTGCAAATATATTTAGTATTTTGAAAGATAGTTATCTGCTGTTTAGGGCAATATTTTATGATAAACCTGTATCAGGAACAATAATTAGAGAAAATTTGGAGGAAGTATTTCCTGCCAGAGTTGAGAAAACATTGTTAAAACATAATAAGCTGTCTACTGTGTATGATATCTTCTTGTGTGTCGTAAGCCCCATATAAAAAATTAATCTGCCTAATTTTTCTAAAGAAAAAGGTTGATGTAGTGTAAACATTGTTGAAGTTTCAAAATGTCCAGTTCATTTCCTAGTCTGTTTACTCTAAGATGACCTCTCACACTGTAATTTCAGCCCAGACTGCTTTTTGGATGAAGCACAGTACAGGTCAGGCAGTCAGAGCAAATGTCATTTACATATATCAGTCTTAAAGTTTCAGTAACAGCCTGATTAATTCTAAGGGGTAAAGAGAGCTGAAAATTGGTCATGTAAAATCCACAAGAACATCATAAGAGGACTTCATGGAAAACAAGTAGGATACGGCCCCTTTAATAGTGATGTAAAAGTCTTATGCTGCCCTGGTTATGTGTAAAATACTGCCATTTTTGTTTTTGTGTAATTCCCTTAAAAACAAATGTTGCGTTGGCTAAAACATACAAAGCAGCTTGTTAGAACAGCAGTACAGCAATTTAGAAGAATGCCATTCTGAATCTACTCATCTTATGGTAGCTAAGCTGAATCGGTCATTTTCACAGTTGTTCCTTTGCTACATTAGCTTGGCCCTTAAAAATTATGTTAATAAACTTTTATTAATGATTTGGTTTATGTTAATCAAGTAAATTACATATTATTTGTTTATATACATTATAGATATGTCTCACAACCGTTCAAGACCTGGTAGCCCAGCAAAACTGTCACTATCAGATAAACCATACTTAAAGCCTTAAAAAAAATAATGAAATGAAATGTGACAGGAAACTTGCTTACAGCTACAGAACATGCCTACACTAACATAGTTTAAAATAAATAAATGAAGTTGGTATTTAAAGTTGTGATAGTGTTGATTTTATATTTCACATCTATCTAATAAACTGTCAAATGTAGTGTGTAGAACTGTTAGTGTGTAGAACTGTTAGTAGCAGTTAGTAGCATTCTGCTGCAGTAGCTTAGCATGCTACAGCTTTACACCTACAGCACTAAAACTTTGCATTCTTAGTAATTGTTGAGGTTTAGTGATGCTCCATAAACTACATGAAGATATTTAAGAATTCTTTATTTTTAGGAGTGTCTTAAAGCTTTTGGCTTTGAGACACAGGAGAACATCGAGCTCCACTTTTACTCCAGATCTGAAAAAATCCACACGTTTTTCTGTCCATCCTTCCACTGTGACAAGACTCACTGCTGTGGTTCTGAAAGGGTGTGTAGCTGTCAAGAAGCCACTACAGAGAAAAGGAAATAGAAAAAAAAAGAAAATTTGCAAATCAATCAAAGAAGCTGCCAGTGTTCTCAGAACAGTGGACTGGCCTCCACAGAGTCCAGGCTTCAACATCACTAAATGTGTTTGCCATTATTTGGATTTTGAGAGGCAGAAAGTGCAACCAACTTCTAAGACCAAACTTTGGAGAGGCGGAAAAATAGACACACTAAAAACTGAACATTTGCATGTAATAATTAGTTTTTTAGGCTTCTGAGTAATTTTCTGTTAAATATATGTTTCCTGCTTTTTCCTCCTGATGCTGAAAAATGACTTGTCTTTAATGGCCATTTTGACTGGAAGTCTAATAACTGAAGCTAAATCTCTGACTTTTGCACAGCACTGTACATAGAAAAGCTGGGAGCATGACATGCATGTTTTGTCCTAGTAGGATTGTGTGAGACTTGTTTATACACAAGGGATAATCTGTAAAGTGAATCATGCACAGTGGGATTAATGTAGGGGGTTCTCAAACAAGAACGATCTAAAAGGCATAATAGCTACTGCCACTAGGGATTATTACTGAAATAGGATGGTGAAAAGTAAAATCCACAAACTGTTGATGTTGTGCAGCAACTGCTTTAAAAGGCCAGGCTTACTTATCTCAATCAAACCAAAAAGATGCTTCTTGTAGTAAAAGTGTGTTGTAGCTTCACTTGAAGACTTCCCAGTTGTTTCTGATTATGAGCATAGTTAGATTGCTGTTGACACTGAGGGCATTGTCATGCTGAAAGGTTAATTAAAACAGGACTGACCTTTTCATTGCAATGGAATGCTAATTAGTAGGAATGAACAATTAGGCAATATAGTGCAATATAATGTTTACTGGTGTGAATGCATTCACTCTGTACTACTGTAATCAGGCCTGCAGTAATACTGATGCATCATTAGTGTCAGTACAGAGGAGAGGAAGAACAGTATAAATGTACCATCCTAAATCTGAACACAAATACTTCCTGTCATGACCCAATTGCACAGTAACCCTGATATCCTTCTACTTAGTGAGACGATAGTTTAATGAAACAGTCCAAGGCAGCTTTGGAAAAACAAAAGGCTGTTTTTTTAGGCTTAACTCTGTGGCTAAGCAGAGGGTCCAAAGTCCAGTCTGGTCTGACAGTGATTAAAAACCTTCTTAGAGCTCAGAATTTATGCCATGGCCTGGATAGTTGGATAGCACATATGCAGGCTTGTAATGAAACAATGGCTTACAAATATTTCAGTAGTCCAAAATTCATGCATAACATCCGGGAAACAGAAATACTTGTGTAATAAAAATGGGGAAGTAATTTTGGACCCTATGGCCTTTTCCTTTTTGTTGGCCTTAATCTATACACGGGTCTGCCTTCACTGTTACTCATCTTTGATTAGAAGCCTTGCGATTTGCAGATCTGAAGAAAAAAAAAGGATAAGGCAGTGACCCAGCTCTTAAATCGTTCTCAACTTGAACTGAGATGTGGCTAAAGGCAAAGACAAAGGAGAGGGACAGAGAGAGAGCAAGCGAGGGAGTGTAAAAACCAATGTATGATGTAGCTTTAGAAGGAGTACAGACATGCAGTTCAGCTACATCTGCAGTATAAGTGTGTGCTGGCATGTATGATTGCATGTGACAGTGAGAGCCACATGAAGCACAGAGCAGGAGGTCTGACCAGGCAAGACAAAGAGACAGCTCTTTACAGTGGTCAGTGCTTGTTTAAAGTACACAATAGTTCATACTTGATTAAAGCAGACACTGTACCATTATGGGAAATGACTGAAGTTAAAATAACTGACAAGAAAATACTCAAAAAGTTTAAAAGTAACTGATATTACACGTAGCTTGGCAAAAAATCTATTACATGATTTTCCTTATAACCAAAATGCAGCTGATCAGCCAAGACATGTTTGATGATCAAATTTTGCTACTTTACTTTAGAACTGGAGCTGCTAGACTAACAGTACTAACAAACACAGGTGGTCTATAGACACCCAAATCATTTCTACAAATGCATGGCAAAATCCTCATATATTTTCTTCAACTATGTTGTTGAGCTATGTAAACTCATTTATAAACAGATTTGGTAAAACAGCATGAATAGACCTTATTTATAAATTTACATTATCACTTGCACAACATCCTGCTTTCCAGTACTATTTCACCTTAAAATTCTGTGAGGATGTGCAGGGGCGTGTTGTAAAACGTCACTACGCCTGCATGTAGCGTTAGCACAATAATACCTAAAGCTTGCTTACTATAAGAGAGTTAGACGTTGAATGTTGAATAATGATAAAGCTACAAAAATGAGAATGCTCAACACATGATTGGCATTACCTGGCACTTGCACAAGTACACCACCAGGTTTCTGTCATACAAGGACTCTGAGGTGGGTCTGGGGAGTCACTGGTGAGTGAAGCATCCAAACGGGCATTGTATTGATTTTCAGAGTATACTCACTTAGCTTTTCTACCTACGTGCATCTGTGTTGTGAATTCCCTTAGCGCCATCTTTGGTTGACTTGTCCGGAATGATACCAAACTGCTATGGAAAGAAGTAATTCCAGTTATCCGAAAATTTGCCTGCATGACCTGAATTTGGACCTGGATTTAGTTTGAGCCAGTCGAAATAAATTTTGGGTTTGTGTTTACGGAACCGGTTTGGATGACTATTGACATCCAGTGTTTATTAGCAACGTTAGCCGCACAGCTCCAGTTCTAAACCAAAGAAGCAAAATTTGGACACCAAACATGTCTTAACTGATTGAATGTGTTTGAAGTAAAAGGAAAATCTGGTAATAGTCTTGAAGGCCTCGAAGAATCTAGAAGTGTCCACGTAATGCCACACTTCTACATCTGTGAATTATATGAATTTCTGTGATCCAAGTACTGACAAACAGAGTCAGGCCAAAATACTTGGTGACGTATCTTCAGGATCAGGCTAGACATGCAAATATCCTTTCTGCCGTTTGTAGTAATGGGAGTAATCAAAAGCTTTAGGGAAATGGAATAGAGTATAGTATCAGTTTGCTTTTCAAAATGTCAGTACAAGCAAGTTCACAGAAAAAAATACCAAATAGATATTTAGCTTTTCAGTTTCAATTTAGTGTCAGTTTTAAGAGGGCTAAAGGCTTTTGTTTTGTTTTTGTTTTTTTTTTCAAAAAGATGGAGTTTTAGTTTTTTAAATTTGGAGTCAGTTTTAAGTTTTGATTTTAGTATTATGGTGAATATTTTGTCAGAAACTATGGTATACTCAAAATAATTCCAAATTGGACAGGTTATTTTCATCTAATGGTTTTTGCCATGATCAGTGATCAGTGTGACCAAAGCTGCACTTTAAAGCACTGGCAGTGTCAGGGGTCACTGCATTTGTGGGTCTTAATTGCATGCATGTGTTAGCATTTATATGGTTATATGGCCTAGAGAGACATTGTAAATCAACTGTGCAATTGCTTAATTAGTCTCAGCAAGTCAACTGGCCAGGATCTGTTTTCGTTCCTTTGTGTGACATAAGCGTATTCAATAATCTTTCCATCTACATGCAGTATACATAGTCACTTTTTTAAAAACACCTACTTGGTGGTGTACAGTTAGAGACTGTGGCCCATCTGTCACTGCATCGATTGTATTAGCCAGTGTAGTCTAACCTTTCATCAATGTTCAGTTTCTTATTTCAGAACCAGTTTTGACTGGATATTTCCCTCATAGACCAGCGAGCAATGTCACTGTGTGAAAACCCAAGCATTGTTGCTGTGGCTGATACACTTGTGGCAGCATCTGGTCAGCAGCAGTCCTGTGGTCAGATAATGTGCGGTGATAAATGGGGTAGGGAGAGGTTGACATATTGTGAATGACAAAGAGGGACTCCAGTCTGTAATAGTATACCTATATAGGGGACCTCATAAAAGGGCAATGAGTAAGTATTTGTTTCTAATGGTAGGTGCATTTGATTTCTAAAAATCTGTCTGATTTTGAGGGGGCGATTTGCAATAGGAATCTCAGCATATCAAGGTAGGGTTTATATTTGAATATATTCAGTGGTTATTCACTGTCTGCATGACACTATGAGTAAGCCAGTTCTTCTGTAGGCTTTTACTTCAAACCTCAAGCTACTCAAATTACGCAACCGTTACGAAGGGCTGCCATTGATTAGCCTATGCAAACACTTGAGAGATAGTGAGTGTTTCAAACCCTTACACAACTCAAAACTTAACTGAAAAGTGTCTTTCTGAAAACAGATATAAAAAAGATATTCTGTTTAGAATCACATTCCTGATGAATTCTAGTTTTATAACAAGCCGGGAGCCATTTTCGTGAACATTCACTGGATAACCGATATTTAAATACATAAAGAACAAAACTCAAACGCAGGGTTGCTGTTGTTGTAACCAATCAGCGCGAAGTGACTCTCACAGTGACCAATGACGGTGCAGCTGAATGGAGCGGCACAAACGTTCCAAAGGGCGGAGCGAGTGAGAAAAAAAGAAGGTCTGGCAGAAACTTGTGCGGGAACCGAGTGAGGGAATTTACTGCAAGAGAAATGTTGCTGGGTGGAAAAAGAGGGGAGACTAAGCAAAAGATCATTTTGAAATAACCAGACTGTATGGGTTAAGTTAAAGGCTCGTGGTCTTTCGTCGTTATAGGCTTTGACTTCTGGTCAGAAATAAGTGTTTAGTGCTAAACTCCGGATTACAGAAATCACCTCAGCTGTGAATCGTTGCTAACTTCATGGCTTTGGCTGCGACGGACCCCAACTGCAAACGGAACGGGCTCACCAACTCTTGCAGGACTGCTGTCAGAAAGGAGGCCATTCAAAGTAAAACAAGTGGGTTAAAACTAACGAACATGCAGCCGAAGGAAGCGGAGTTTGCCACGGACGGTTTACCAAAAGCCTTTCTGCACAGCCTGCGGACACTGTTCGACATCCTAGACGACGGCAGGCGAGGGTACGTGCACATATCGGAGATAGAAAGCCGGTGGCAGGGCGCGGAAACCCAGGATTTACCTGGTGGTGTGCTGGAGTGCTTGAGGCGGGTGAGTCCTCCTCACGGCTGTCTGACTTTCGAGCGTTTCGTCGCGGGGCTCCGGTACTCGATGCTGAACCCCGAAAACAGCAATAAAGCTCACTCCTCCAGCCAGCTGTCGTACCCCAACGCCTCCACAGCGCAGCCGCAGCTCCTACACTTGCATAAAGGCGTGGCGGCCCGGCCATATGAGGGGAAGGTTCGGCCGCTCGGGCCATGCAACGGAGCTAACCTTCATCACAGCCGCGCCTCCTCCTTACAGAGCCGAACAAGACACGAGGACAGCGGCTCCCTGTACTCTACCTCGAGTAAACCTTCCTCCACCGACTCCTCCACGTACCCCAGCCTGACAAGCGCTGCTCCTAGCTACGGCGGAGGCTACGAACGGACCGGCAGGAGCCTGGAGCGCGCGCAGGTCGGGCACGAGCGCACCGCTCACAGACCTGATTCGGCTCGCGCTATCAAAAAGGCGCCGCCGCCGCAGCAGCAGAGTCAAGTCCGATCAATCGAGTCACTGGCGCTCGAGTCTTCTTATTTCCAAAAGCCGAGTGAGTTAGTTTTGCTCAATACACACTGTTAAAACGTTACCAGTACAAAAAAACATATAAAATCCTTACATTTGCAGTTTGCAATTGGAATTCTTTTAAGCTTAATAAGTCCTGATTAGGGGTGTAACAATGCATCGTCATATCGCAGTGCAAAACTGAGAATGTGCATTCTGTTAATTGTGCCATGTGAATGCAGCTGCATTGTTTAAACACCAAAGTATCAGCACCCATCAACACCTCACTTCAGCACTCCTGCTTCGCAGCTCTGGTGTCATTAGTAAGCTGTGCAACAGTATCATTATAGTCATTATTTTTCTGCATTTAAATAAAAAATATCATGAGGATATCAAATATTGATCCCAGATTTGTGAATCGAAGTAAACTGTAGGCTGAGTGTATTGTTACACCCCTAGTACTGATTAAACACATTGTCCTATTACAATATCCTATTAACTCAGTAATGTCCATATCTGATGGCAAATATATCACATAATGATACCTAAAGACATTTGCATGAAATATGATATGTATCACAATATTTTGACACACAGGCGCAATGCTTTTGTAGCACTTCATTTAAGAACTGGCATCAAAATGATAATTCTGATAATAACTTCCACACTGTGCTGCACTAAATCCACTTACACCGAATTAATTATGCTATCTTTATGACGGAACATGCATTAAGTCTACTCTTTTGGTCACCAGAACTACTGAGTTCTACGATAAAAAATCCAGATTTGATTGTGAAAAGTCAAATCAGAAACCAGATTGGTACATTTAGATCCAAGTTAAAACTGTACAGCTCTGTAACTTTTTAAGTTGGAATAGTTCTTTTCTAGTAGTTTCCCCAGTTAAAAAAAAGTTGAATTTACAGCACTTTGGCATTTTTTTATGAATTTGGAAACTTTAATTTGCAACCCACTTTCAATTCCCTGAAGAGCTTTTGTAAGAAGTCTTCTCTGTTGTCACTGAAATACACTTAGTGATCCTTAGTAATAGGATAATGCTGCTTACTAGGAGGTCAGATCTTTGCTGCTAAGACCACACTGTCTGTCGCTCTGGGTAGAGTTCTTTATTTCTCCCTGATCTAGGACCAGCACCTATTATACAAATCCTAATCTCCACGATTAGAAGATAAACAGATGAAACTGGCCTCAGTTCAGTAGGAAAGAATCATGCGTATCACCTAGAGTGGAAGTCGATGACACCCCCACAGACTTTTGAGGGCATGTTTGTACTGGATGGTGTCTCTGTCTCTGTTTTAGTTAGCTAAGCTGTTATTATCAGACAAGTACATTAGTTAAGCAGGTGATGGAATCTGAAAATGAAAACAAATAGAAAAAAAAGTTATGCTGTTTTTGACAGGTGCAGACAGGAATGGGAATTAAGTTCTGAGGCATTCTCCCAAGCAAGATATCCATTTTTTTATTTTCTTGGTTGCAGACATTAATTACAGTGCATTAATGGCATGTTAAAGTTGCTGTTCAGGTCTGTGCCCAGATTTTGAGAATCTTTAAAACTCAATAGATTTGAGGGCAAAAGGCAGCTGCACCAGTTTCATGTGTTTTCAAAAAGCATTCCCAATTTTTATTTTACATTTGGAGTCTTTCATTCACAAATGCAACTTTATGAGAGCTGTGAGAGAACCATCAAAACCTATATTGCATTTTAATGAAGCAGACTGCTGATTGTGATGTAACTCAAGCAGACGTCACAGTAACAGGCCTTGGGCAGCAAGACTAGCTAATGTAACCTCTTTGGCAGGCTTTTAACATAATCTCTGAATTATGTTTCGCAGAAACTTGAAGAATGAACAGGTATGGTTAAGTTCATTTATGAATTCTCCAGGTTTTTTGCTTTAATGTCTGTGACAAGTTAATACGTCCTTCTATGGTAAAGAGTGATGTTCATTCTGTGAATGCTTGGAATGTGATCGTCATGCATCTACGTGACAAGCAGTTTCAGCTTTGAAACAGTAACATTCCAAACCTCTGCAGAATTAGTGCTGTGCTGACTACAGGGCTATCATGCTGCCAAAAAACTGACCAATGGGGAGATGTTAGCTAACCCATTAGCTGCTTAGCTCTTGATGTGGCGCTTTCCCTGAAGAGCACAAATTCAGCTCAGTAACCTGAAGTTCCCATGCTCACAGTTGGTGATCTTACCCAGAATGCTAGGGAACACTAAAGACTGGTCAGACAAGAGAGTGGAGATGGATGGAGGCTGATGGAGGCTAGTCCACAGTCATAATAACATCGGGCTGCTCATTAGCTTGTCCCATGTTCACTCAAGTTGACTCATGTATTGACACACTAGACGTTCTTTTCCCTTCTCTCTCGCTGTGTTCCTCTTCTCTACAAATGTCTGGAGCTGTAAATGTGACATGGCCAGAGGCAGTCCTCAGCAACAGCAAACCCTGGCACTTACATCACAAGCAGGCAGGCGTGTAGGGAGGGAGGCAGCAGATCAGGTCTGGGTGATGTAATCCCCATCGGTTCAGGCTGTGGATTTGAGCAGATTACTGCACGCTTGGTACTTGAGGCCCGACAGCCATGGAAGACCACATTCAGTGGGAACCGTGGTCCATTGCAGGTTTTGGGAAAGTGGCCAAAATGGCATTTAAAGATCAGAGATCACGTTGGCCACATTAATGGCGTGACAAGGAAAATGCCAGTGAAGATGCAACCTTTTTAAAGATATTTTCTCGTTTGTGAATGAATCCTCAGTAGGCATGTGTTGATCTAAAAATTTTATCATTACTTAACCTGTTGTTATTATAATGATATTGTATTAAAACAGCAACACTATATGTGTATAATAACACATGTAGATACATGTAAGGTCATTGTAATAGCAATAATGTGTTGGGGTTAAACATCCTGAGGATTTCTGTCTGAACAAATATCCCTGATGGCACTTTGTGTAGTAGCACATCAGTTTTATTCATTTCTGGAATCTTGTGTTTTGTCTAGAGTCCTGATTTTTCCTTAATGGGCACCATGTTTTTTGTTTCCTCACATTGAGCACATTGAGTTTGTAAGGACAGCATTGTAATCTTTAATAAAGGATGAATAAAGCTGGGATCGAAGTTTAACAGCATATTAGGTCCTTATGGATCCAGAGATGTTTCTTTGTACCTAAAAAATCTCTGGTGAAACTGCAGCTTGTTTGACTAAAAAGCTGTTTTTCAGAGTGTTCACAATAGCAATATTGTGCCTTGAATGTCATGATATACCTTATGATTGAATACTGACAGATATCTGATTCTCTGTAGTGAAAAAAAAAGAACGAAAAACAATGAAGATTTTCTTCAGAGTAATAGTTTGCCAAAAATTGGGCACAATTTTCCCATTACCCTAAGTAATCTGATAGCAAAGATGCACTGTGTCTGAAGTGTAAACCTTTAGTAGAATGGCTTCAGGGTGGCTGCTGCTACTGTTTTTAGATATGCAATGTACTTTTGTTTAGCTCAATCCCGGATGTGTCTTCCATTGGCCCAACAGACACTTTAGGCTGATGCACTTTCACTACTGTGTTGATCAGACAGACAAGAGCTGGGCAGTGGAGCTTGTTGGTGCTTGTCCTTTACAAGTCACATGTACAATTGTGAGATCACCAGGAAAACCTGACAACCTCACCCCAAGACTACACTCTGTATTTTGCAATATGCACTTTAAGGCCTTGGAGGTGGAGATGAGGATCTTTTGTAAGTGTTACTTTTGAATGTTCTCTCACACCCAAAACTCCAGGTTGAGCCATTTGTCAGTGGAAATTAGCATTTGCACTGCAAGGAATGTGTGTTGTGTCCTGGGAGGTGTCACCTTGAGCTTGAGACATTTTCTCTTCAGAGGAATGGTGAAAGAAGGTACTGCTGTGGCTTCTAGACTGACGAGTAATGTGGATCTTTTGAAGATCTTAAAAACCATAGATGTTTCTTGGGGATGGTTGAGCTTGGTTAGAGCTTGGTTATGTTCTGAACATGGATACAAAGCTAGATTAAGCATTATACAACAGTTAGTTCCTGCCAAGCAAGCTAATTGGTTGAGAAGCGTTCTAACCATGCTGTTATTTTGCCACAACATCACAGTTTTTTCACAAACACTGTATCACTCAGCTGAGACGCTGTTGCTGAGCAACGACTTTGACAACTGTAGGAGATACTCAAGCCATTTGAGCATTTTTACTTCTTACTTTGCACACAAACAGAAAATAGATACTTTTAAGATTACGTTTGATCTACAGCCTATTTGGTCAGACTCTGAAGATGAGACTACACTAAATTCCAAAACTCATTACCACTGAGCAAGCTTTTCAGTCAGCAGCTGTGACAGAAGAACACCTAAACAACCTGGAATTAGCCAGAAATGAACCAAATACCATTCCCCAAACAAAATGGGCTGTAAGATGCTTTACAGACTGGCTGGAACAAAACAACATTAATATTGATCTAGCAAAAATTGACAAAACTGATCTATTGACAAAACCTGGTATTTTGGCAGTTTTATGGCTTAGTCCGTACTTCAAAAGTCTT